TTTTAAATGCCATTTCAGGAGATATTCGTATTGGTTCAGGACCCATCGCCTCCAGAGCTGTGACATTTTTGCGTGAAGCTGATGTTTTGAAGATTAACATTGAGAGGTCAGACAGTCAAAAATAGCGCATTCTTAATATACTAAGTGACATATAAATCCGAACACCCAGTTTAAATGGTTTTATTTTAATAAAATTTTGTATAAGTACTTAATGAAGCATAAAAAGTAAATGATAAAAATTTCAAAATGATTGCACTGCTTTAAAGCCCTTTGACCTTTAATAATGTGTGGATGCACCCTGATGTGCTACGCATTCTCCAACGCGCCTAGGCATGCTTCTGATCAGGTGGTCAATGTCCTCCTGTGGTATCTCATTCCAGGCAACCACCAACTCCTCTCGAAGTGCTTCTAGAGTCTGAGGAGGACGTTGCAAATTGAGCAATCTCCTACTCATCATATCCCACACGTGCTCAATTGGGGATAAGTCGGGAGATCTTGGTGGCCATGGTAACAATGTGACATCATTATGTTGAAAGAAGTCGATTGTGACTCTTGCAACATGTGGTCGGGCATTATCTTGTTGGAAAGTTGGATCTGCCAGGGTGTCAAGATAGGGTAAAAGATGGGGTTCTAGAACTTCGTGGATATAACGCTGCGCGTTCATGTTACCTCTGATGAAGATTAAAGGTGACCTGGAACCATAAGCTATAGCACCCCAAACCATAACTCCAACAGTGTGATGAACATGTCTTTCAACAAAAAACTGTGGATTCCTCCTTTCACCACGTCGAATTCTAACCATGGCACGACCATCGTGCATGCCTAAACAAAATCGAGACTCGTCACTAAAGACAATACTGTTCCATTCCTGATACCAGAGTGACCGTTGTCTGCACCACTCAAGGCGATTACGTCGGTGTTCTCGAGTTAAAGGGAGGACCCAGTGTGGCCGGTATGAAAACAAGCCAAAACTTCTCATTCGTCGGTAAACACTTCGCATGCCAATATGTCTTCCGTGTTCTGCAAACCATTCATTTGCAATGGACCTGGTAGTGGAGAAACGGTCCCTTAAGGCCAATAATCTTAGGCGGCGATCTTCACGGTCTGTTGTTCTACGGCGGCGTCCAGTGCCCCTTGCTCTTTGCGTACGGCCTTCTCGAAGCCATGCCTGACAACACCTAACCACAGTGTCTACACTTCTTTGCACTCTAACTGCAATTGCCCGAAAAGAAAGTCCAGCTTCCCGAAGTCCCACTATACGGCCCCTATGAAACACACTAAGTTGACGAAATCGTACAGGTCTCCGTACTCTAGGCATCGTAACCGATCGTAAAGGATGTCAAGAACCAAAATCCGCCAACGTTGATTCTTTACTGCGGCTGAAATGTTCATTTTTAGAGCGTTAGTGAATTAAAAAAAAGCAGTATAAAAACCGGAATGTCCAACTGATAAGGCTGAAAATTTTTTCACTTGTTATTTACAGTAAGATAAATACATTCACCAACTTTTATTAAAATAAAACCATTTAAACTGGGTGTTCAGATTGATATGTCACTTAGTATATTAACGTTGTTTAAAAGTCATTGACTTCTTACTACTTGAATGTCAAATAAGGAAATAAGATATGTATGAGATATTTAAAAAATGTATAAAAAATTAACAATATAGGTTGATAAAGTTATAAAATACTATCAGTATTATTATAATTATATGTAATGTTATTACACAAAATTAGATATCACAAAAATGGGTTCTAAATCTTGGGTAAGCTAGAAGTAGCACCATTTTTTAAATATTCCAACTATATCCCTATTATCAATTAAATCTGTATCCTAAATTTTCCCTCAGACATTTTTACTATTCAACCGCCGTAATGCATAAGTCCGCAAAAAAACAAAATGTTAAAGCGCTGCAAATATAGTTTTTATGTTGATCCAGTCCATGAGATATTTTTTGGAAAACTCAAAAAATTGTTTTAAAAAATTTCCCATCTACGTTTTTCATCCATTTTGTAAGCTTACGATCGCTTCAGGATGGAGACAAAAAACTTTTGGAGAATTCAAAATTTGCAATTTGACAAGATCGACCTTTCGAGCTAGATACGTCACAATATTCAAAGAAAAACTTGTAACTATAGTAGTCACATTCATTTCTATTTAGATGACCTATAAAGATAAAGAGTTTCTACGTCAAGTAAGATGAAATTAAATGAATATGTGAAATAATAGAACAAACGTCACGACCCGGGTATTATGTAAAGAACCTGGAAAACGTAAAAAAGCCGACGAAAAGTCATCTTGCAGACTATACGTAATAACCGTGCAGATCCTAAAAGTCTACCATAAAACCGTGTGCAAGATGATACGCCACTGGTGTGATCAGGGACAACAAATTGACTGACCGATAACAAAAACAACCGATAACAAAGCAATCGGCCTTGGGAGGCAAAAGTTGTAAAACAATTTCTTCAAATTTCTTCATTTACATGTTATCAACAAAAGCAAGGGGCAGGTAGATTTGAATTATATCAGTACCAGGCATAGGTAATCTAGACTAGAGGATTCAAGAAAAGAGAAATGCAGCTCGAGCCTTCTAGAACCATTGGCCGCAACGGGACCACACCACTCAAATCGACCAATCAGAGGCACTCTTCTTAACACCATCTGAGAAATGCACGTGCATTATCTAGCTAGCGCCGTTGCCGATGTGACACATTTTCAGTTAATTTCCTTACATTTATTTCTTCTATGCCGGCAAGATAGCAAAATTGGGAATACAACGAATTAGAGTATATCATCTCCCTTCCTCCTTCAAGCCCCTGGGCTTTATACATTTTTTTTTTATATCGAAGCAGCCTCGCAGACCTAAATGCCGGGACACTGCGGCTGCTATGTGGATACTAAAGAAATGTTGTTATTCCGATTTTTGGACTGCCTAAGGTTAGTAGAACTGGAAAAAGCTTCCTCTTGTAGTTTCTTCCACAATCTCGACACCCGCGGGACAAAGGAGCGGTCGTATCTGCCAGTTCTGGATGTACGAAGTGCGACACGGTTAAGATGGGAGGCCAAAGTCAGGCGGGTCTGCCTGGCAGGCACATCGCGCGGCGGCATAATGGAAAAGATCTCTGAGGAGCAAAGCCCGTTGGTTTAACGCACATCTATCTTCAAATTGCTTATTGCTCACGAGAACTGTCATTGGCTGCAACAAGCGGCAGATAATATACCGACTTTTATGTCCATTTAAAGAACGAATTGAACAATTTTTAGGTGAAGTATTAGTTCGTTACGTAGTTGTAGCTCAATATTAATTCCAGCTACGAACCCTTTTTTCTTTTCGCTTTGCGATTAAAATCGAAATCTGTGTCAAATTTTGTGTATGATTTTAATCAGCCTCGCAGATGTTAGCCTCAAACATTTTAAATTTGTTTTTAAAGCTTTTTCGGATGGAGAGATATACATAATTGTTTATTTTGTGATGGTAAACTATATGGAAAGAGACGTTACTTTGCCTTTCAAAACACGAAATGGCGATTTTTCTAGTGAGATACATGTTCATTTTTACATCAACTTCCCTCCAATACTTTTTGAGTCACGACTGGTCAAAAATACACGGAAGTATTTTCCCCTGAGAAAAAAATTTTACGTGCTTTTTTAAGAAAAGCACCCTTATGCTGTTTCCAAGCTCATTAAGGTACAGCAGTTTTGTGCTTCTTTAAAAGTAACCATTTCGTAACGTATAAAAAGTTCCATAGAAGTTGTATTGTTTGTTATCTATAAGTTGGAAATGAAAAATCAATTTTTTTCACGAAAAAGAGAGTTGCTGGTTTTTAGAGCAAAATGATATTCCTTTCAAAAATGTTTGTGGTCTACATCACGTGAAATACGTGTCTTGAAAAATGACATTTTATCAGTTTTTGTTTGACATTTCGTAGATTTTTTGAGACGTAACGTAGGTTTTTCTACAAGACGTTAGCTTAGCACAAGCTGATGTACACTTGTTGTAGCTAGTTTGCAAGATGACATTTAATCGTTTTTTACGTTTTTAGGGTTTTTACATAATACTCCTGCCGCTCCGAAATTCTGGACAAAATCTCATGGAAGGAAAACTAGAATGTTACATTCATTGTTCAAAATATTCTTAAATTGACAATTGAAAGTTGAAGTATTTTTTAGGTTATGTTGACCATTTACAATTTCGAAAACATCGTACTTCTCATTGTGGTACATATTACCTGTATGAGTTTTTTGCTTCTCCCTCTTTGAGCCCCACCCGAACTCAAATTATATATCCAACACTATCTCAGTACGCTCTGAATCTTGGATTAAAATTTGATGCCGTATGCCGCCAGTATGTTAGTTACAGTGAATTAGGAAGTAGGATGTATGCTTGGTACCTCCGGCTATCAAGTAATAAGAAATAAAGGATAGAGATGTCTTCACTCTTATTTTCTCTGTATGCGATAATATCTAAAGCCACGTGCAGACCGAGATTCCAATGCAAGCCAGACGCGATCTTGCTATTTAACCAGACAACCATCTTTCTTCTCATAGACTCAGGGATGAAAACTATAGACCACTCGACTTCACAAGACGTATGCAACCAACAATGCGTGTACGTGTAGTTGAGCCATTCCTCCATAGATGGATGCTCACAACGATTCTAGTGATCAAACTTGGAATGGCAGTTTGCACGCTAAAAACTACCTAGTCTGCAAGATGACATCTTATAGTTTTTTTTGACGTTTTATCGGTTTTTACATAATACCCGTGCGGTACATCAAAGAGAGGTTTGATTTGGTCTGGACAGGATTTGTTGCAGTTCTAGTATTTATTCGTTTGTCTGCATCCGATGAGAGAAGACTCGTCGCTCGACATTAGCACCGAACAAACCCGACGCGATCCAGCTCGAAACTAAATTTAGGTATAGACGACGTGTAGACGGGCGCATTCCAGTACCTTCCAACAACAAACGCCAACGTCACATGTGTTTGCATTCGTTTGCTCGACGATGGATTTTCGGTCTTTACGCGGCGATATCCTTAACTATTGCCCCGATGGAAACACCACTGACTCCCTTAAAGGAATGTCAAGCTGAGTGATGTGGCAACGCTGCGTGACGTAGCCCACCAGCTTGTCAATTCATAAAGGATGGAATAGGTTTAAAATGTAAGTCGCAAATTGTTTTCATTTCATTCAGTGAGCGAGAGTGCGACACACGGACACACGATACTCGATTCGATCTAACGAACGAAAAACACGAAAATTCAGTGATAGTTAGTTGTGATATTAGATACGTAAATATCCGCGATGAATCTTTCTTTCGCGGGTTGTGGCTTTTTAGGCATTTACCATGTCGGGGTTGCTTGTTGTTTTCGGAAATACGCGCCCCATTTACTGCTTAACAGGATTTCAGGGGCTTCGGCCGGTGCTATCGCTGCCTGCTCCCTCATATGCGATCTTCCTGTTGGTAAGTGATTATAAATTAAATAATGCATAGTGGAAGTGAGAAGACAGAAGGTCTTCATATGGTTACACGATATGTTACCGATTCCTTATTTTTATTCGAATTCAGGCTGAAACGATGATCTATAGTTAATGTAACATTATCAGCTGAAAAAGAGGCTCCAAATACGTTTCCTTATTGCTTGAATCAGAAACCTAACCTCAGTTTTTCATTGTTTTGATTGTCAGGTGATTCGAGGCTCCCTTGATTGTGACGAATACACAACAGGTGTTTTTTATTTATACACTGCAATTCTTCTCTGATACTTCATCACCTTCGATATGAAACAGGGACTTCTACCCTTAATTCAATAGTTTAAAAAACAAGTCAATTATGATTATCACCAAAGGCTGCTTCTATTACATTCTTAGAGCAAGGCTATCTAGATTCTGTATTGTGCCCCTATGGAAAGAGACACAGACTGTTTTGCTGGAAAGTTATTGGGTATTTGCCTGGATCTGCAATTGTGCATTGACATTTAAGACTGTAAGCGCCCTATCATCAGCCGTTTCTACAATTTTAGGACGCCTTTATGGCCTCCTTGATTTTCATAGTTTTCTACTTTTCTGTCAGCGTTCTAATTTGAGGTTATGTTACGAATATGTATTTGCATAAAATTGTTTATACTTTTGATTTATAACATCTGTTATATAGTCTGAAATTTCCTACAATTCAAGAAGAAAACATATCCTGACAATAGGAGAGCGCTGAAGCTGACACGGAACAGTAGAACTTTAGAAATGTCACAGCCTTTCTGAAGGAGAGGAAAGACTATGAAAATCAAGGAGGCCATAAAGGCGTCCTACAATTGTAGGAATGTTATAATTCCTTGTAATGTGTCCATTATTGCCTATGCTTAGAAGCCAAAACAAAACTGTATCTAGAGCATGATTTAGATCAGATACTGATTGTAATCTAAATGGACTGACCACAAACATAACCTTCTAAATCATGCCATGTAAAACACATTGCTTCAAGCAACTTTTTATAGTGTTTTTTGTACGGCTGCTTGGAATGACACAGCAAAGGTGTTTAACCACATCTGTCTAACATTATTTAACAGTGCAGTTAAATGCACTCATTGAGCTCACAGCCACAGATTAGTTTTGACAGTTCTCAACATTTAATCAACAAACTATGGAATTTGATGGCTAGGTGAAGACTGCTGTAAAACTGATGAGGTTAGTGCTATTCGAGGTTGCACCTCTGGACCATTTCACATTGGCTGAATATGCTTATTGTCTGGAAACATTTTTTGAGATGTCAAAGTCTTGGAAAATATTGCATTTCTCAAGTTTCTTATCATTTTTGGGTATAGTCAAAATATCTCGACAGGAATTTTGAGATTTCCTTCCAATGTAGTATGTAAGACTACGTTAAAATCATTGAGTGCTGGTAAGCATAACAATTGTTAGAATCTGGAATCTGTTATTTCTTGAAGTACATTTCTGTACTTAATTTTTATATCAGCATAAATTAAAATGGGTATCTACAGTATTTACAAGTTGGGTAAATATGGTTCATCAAAAGATTTAAGCCTCATTTCATAAGCTTCTTAATCCTCTACAAATCATTTCTAAACACTGGTCATGAGGATTTTTTATATAGAAGATAATTATACTAAATGGTTATTTTAGTAGCACTTTCTTCTGATGAATACAGCAAATCAAGTATTTAATAATATTTATAAAAATATCACATCAATCCTTTGTGTAGATGTGCCTTGGATTAAAAAGGAAATTAACATTCAGTAACCATAATGCTCTTATTATTCAAATAGCAATGAGTGCCAACTTCCTTTTTATGTTTTTTGCTTCTGTGGGTCCTAACAATGACTACATGTTATGAAGGATGTTAATCTGATAGGCTTACACAGATCTTTCCACGGGAGTTATAATTTTTCATTACAAAAAATTCAGATATCGATATCAGCTGTGACATTTTCACAAAAAGCAAATGGCAATGAGGTCCAGATATGTAAAAAAAACAATTAATATCTAAAAAGAAGTTAAGTAGTCTACCAGAGGCTTAACATAGTATGGTTCTATACAAATAGGTATTCCAGAATTTACTGATGAAAATCGATTAGAACATTTAAGAGAAACCAGTTTTTGTGCATTAGATTCCGACCTTGAAAATAAACCTGAAAGGGTTTCCCAGACCTCACTTTAATCATTATGGAAACTCATAAGGGGCAACACGTTTTGTTTTGTGAAAATAATGAAAAATAATCATTTTTAGGGGTTAAAATTACCCCAAAATCAAATACTCTAAGGTTAAGTACTTTCCGAATCTTAAGTTACCCCTAGTATCGCGAATTATTTCAGACGAATTAATTATTTTGGATAAAAAGAACTGAGGATGAAGATGATCAAAAAATAGGTGGAAACAGTGAGCTTCGCCAGACTTACATATAATTTTTTGAGAGTTTTTATAACATTGTAGTTGCTAGTCATTTCAACCTCTAAATAGGGGTGGTTTTTGAATATTTTTAAAAAACAATGATTCTTGATTTTCTATAACGTTTAATTTGAGACCCGGGAAACATGGGTTTATTTTCAATATCGGATTCCACTGCTCAAAAACAAGCGAATTTTGGGGTCAGTACGAGCCCCTTCCCACTTCAGTTGGCCCACTTCAAGAGTTGTACCAAAATATGCCTTTATAAACTAAACATGACGAAACTATTTACTTCTAAAAGAATTTATTTTCTCAAAAACATTTTAGATACACTCTAGTCGTAAAAAATACATATTTGAAATCACTTAGACCTATAACTAATAGAACATCTGAACAAATAAACAATGTGCGAATAAATGCGCGAAGTTAACAAAGCAACAATTGAATGATTACCATTGGGTAACATCACCTTTATTTCTTATTACGGCTGAAATTCTTGGGGGCATAGTGTTAACCAAGTTTTGGCAAAAATTTGGTATAAAACAATCCCATATTTCTTGAAGCTTTTGTCTCAGTTCGGTGATTGTACGAGCAGGATGTTGTCGTAGAACCTTTTTCATCTCGTGCCACAAAGTTTCAATAGGTGACAGATCTGGTCTGCTAGAAACCCATTTCAAAAGTGGTACATTATTTTCTTCCATCCATTTTATAGCCTTTTTTGAGGTATGGCACGCTGCACCATCTTGCCGAAACACAAAATCTTGGCTGGATGTCAAACATCACTGGTAAAAGCAATTCTTCTAAGATTGCCAAATATTTGTTTGTATCCACATTTCTTTCCATTGCATTGTACACCATTGTTGAGGTGTCCATTGTCTTATATTCTTTAGTCCATCTAAGCCGATTTTTCTTTTGCAGTGGAGTTAATAGTGGCTTTTCTTTGGCCTATAAACAAGTTGTGCAACTTTAGGGTTTTTACTTCACTTTTTTTTATAAGAAAACTTACCTTGCGAGTGCTAAATCCCAGTTTGTGGGCCTCTCTATGAGCTGTGGACCTCGTAATTCTCCTTCCAACAGCGTCACTCCACAGAGCACTTAATTGTAAATAATTGGCACGCCTGTTTTTCACGATTATTCTTCTTAATGCTCTTCGGTCGGCATTTGTGATATTACTTATTATTTGTGTTTGATAAGAAACAAAACTAAGGTTTCAATAGTTGGGCCAACTGAAGTGGGAAGGGGCTCGTACTTTGGTTACAGTAACAGATTGACACATAAGCATACACATTTACAATAAATTAAAAAATGTAATTCATCCATTTCCTCGCAACATAAAGAATCCTCAACCGATGTTGAAACAAGGATCGTCTTTTTGGATATATACAATACTATAAGCGCCAAATATAAAACACAAAATACTTTATGAAATTTTTGCCATTGCTCATTGACTCAGAATGCAAAATTAAATATCAAATTTGATCGTATGTCCTCTTTTTGGTACATGAATCATACAAAAATGTTGAATGAGTATTCTCCGATAATTACACCAAGACCACAGTTCAGTAAAATAACATATCGTCGCTTGAGTTCTAACGCTACGTAAGTCAAAATTAACAACTTTTAAGGAGAGTAAAAAGAACGGTGGGTCTTTGGATTCGCTCTCGAATGACATGCATGTATTTTTTGTAATCCTCCTTGTTTGTGTGACCGCAAATGATACGTCATTGACTGTCTACTTTTTCGGCAATAACTGCGGCCTTTTTCAAGTAAATGCATATCTTAATTTTTTGAGTTACACTTTTTGCTTGTTTTGCGACTCGTGAAATACTTTGGGCAGTGTTCTGCGGTCAACTAACTGCAGGTGACCTTCATTACCTGGATGTGTCATCCTCCTCACCACCTGCTATATCAGAAACACCACAGTTAAACTGCATGTAGGATTTCGGATATCACAATATCATTTATCGTCAATATTATTTCGAGATTACCTGGATGATTTTTGTAACTTTTCGATTTCAGATTCTTGATTCCATATATCCAAAACCTTGCGGCCTTTTCAGTCCTTCACTTTACTTGTAAGTACTCTCTGAAGAACCGCCTGATGACGTTTCTGTAAGAGCTAGTTTTCAAACCTCCTGCCTGATTATTTTTTTGCTGTTACTTCTGCCAATAGTTTATTCCTGGACGTTATATGCTCTATCTTTTATTTGGCCCTCCTGGTAAATTCGATTCATCAATCTGGAGGTCATAAATAGCGTATCTTGGAATAACTTGTATTTACAATCTGTGGCTTATTTTATACTGGTTTATGAATATCATATTTACGTCATACATAAGTTTTATTTTTCATTCCACTTTGTGATAATATATATTTATGTTTTACTTTCCGACATACTTCATGAAAGGATATATGTATTGATAAGATAATAAATACTATTTTATGCGGTAGAGCTCAAATATGCAAATACAGAGTATTGCTCCCGGACAAATTTTTTTTGGTGGTCCAAAAATACATAGGAATATCATCGTCTGTCTCCCGGATCTCGACCTTAATGTTTTTTGGT